TTTTTGTAGCTGACACTACAAGAAGGCGTTACGTAGAATCATTCTTCAGCATTTTATTAAAAATTATTGTAATCAAATGAAACTTTGAAAGCACCTACCAAAACAGGAGATAAATCTTATTATCCTCTTCTTTTTCTCTATGTACGTATTGTGTTAAAGCAGTGCAAACCTTTCCGTTTCTGTCGCAATCAAAGATATGAAAGCTTAGTGGAAGCAAATTTATTATTGTTATTATTATTGTTATTATTATTATTATTATTATTATTATTATTATTTATATTATTGTTATTATTATTATTATTATTATTATTATTATTATTATTGTTATTGTTATTAGTATTGTTATTATTATTATTATTATTATTATTATTATTATTATATTATTATTATTATTATTATTATTATTATTATTATTTTTCATTATTATTATTATTATTATTATTATTATTATTATTATATCAATGATATTATAATAACAGTAATACCAATAACTAATACCCTATTATTATTATTATTGTTCCTATTATTATCATTATACTATTATTATTATTATTATTTATTATTATTATTCATTATTATTATTATTATTATTATTATTATTATTATTATATCAATGATATTATAATAACAGTAATACCAATAACTAATACCCTATTATTATTATTATTGTTCCTATTATTATCATTATACTATTGGCTATTATAACTGTTGTTCTTATAAATATTTCTCGCTGTTTTTTTAGTTTTATAGTCCTCTTCCTACTTTCTTTTGTAGCTTTTTTGAGTTGTACAATTTATTATTTAAAAATCTATTATGACTAATTTTTATTCTTGCTTTTGTCAATATTATTGATTTATTTCTATTTCATTTTAATGTCGGATTTATAGTTATTCAAAATTTATATCCTTGGATTTATTGATTTATAGACAGCAATTTTATTTTGAACGTTATGTAGATCCTTAATTTAAGCGCAAATTTTGTTTCGTGTTCTTTCTCTCTGATGGGCGTTTTTTTAGACTTTATAAAATATTTTTTGTCAGAAATCTGGAGGTGAAAGACAATCAGACACTCAGAAACAAAAGAAGGAATTATAAACAAATAAGTTCAATTGAGGAAACAGGTTTAGTGACAGAGACTTTGCTTCTAAAATTAACATTCTTTATTAATTTTGCCTCAAAGTTGACTTAAAGAATTCGAAATCAGTAACTGAAGAATAAGTTTTGACAGAAGTAGACATTACGCTGACAAAATTTTACACTATAATTACTGTGGACCAGTTACAAGTGGTTCACAGTACTTGAAGTAATTAGAGCTTGGTAAAGTCAAATTAAGAATTTTACTCTTGAATAAGGTACTATAGAAGGAGGAATAAGTTCTGCAACAGAGGTGTGCTCTATTATGTTAGTATTGCTGTAAACGAAGTATTTAGCAAACAATATATGTTTAAAAAATTCAGACATCTACACGCTTTGAACTGCCACAGCAGGACTAATTTAGATAAAGTGGCTTTTGTACGGATTTAGCATTTCAACAACATGCAACACTTACTCTTTGTTGAACGTGTTAGCAAGACCAAATTTCTTAGCTATGCCTAGCTATTAAATCGTCAACTGTTAATTAACTTAAGAATTTTATGTATGCATATAATGACTGCTGCAGAGGTCTTTTTTGTTATTTTATTTTTACTTTTTATTTTATTTTGTAGCTTATTTCTTCTTTTAGAAGTTTCTTTTAAAATTTAAATTTTGTTATTATCTTACTGATACTAACACTTTTATTGTTGTCTTTATTACTACCATTATCATTTATTCCATATCATCTAAAATTGTAACTTTATCACGTGACTCCAATACTACCTTCTTTTCGTCTTCTGATCTAGCATGCGTTTATACTGTCTTTCTATTATTCCATCTCTAACATTACTATATTTTGTTGTTCTCCCCGATTCTTCTTTTCCAAACGCAGTGATCTAGCCACAAGTTCTGAGAACCCTGTTTGTGTTACGTCTAACTCGCCTCTGCTGGAGTCTACGTACTGGTATGAACCTACGAAATCTAAGGGAAATCACACTTACAGCTTGCAGGAAATCAAAGCACAGATGAAAAAACCATATCCTCTATCTTTTTTGGCAAACTAGTCGGTGCAAAATAAAAGGAGATAATGAGGCGGCTACTCTTATTAATCCACCTCTGAACCTCATTTGCTTTCAGTTGCAGCCTATAATTTAAGCCAGTTAGTATTGAATTTGTTTTGTGAATGATATTATTCAGAGTTTGAGAACGAACGTTTCTCTTGCAGGCAGTACTGGTCCTCACTTTTTGAGCTAAAATTTGGTAAAAACTCTTCAAATACTTGATTCTGTCGTGAAAAAACGATTTATCTTAAGTTAGAAAGTGAATACAACAGGGTCATCAAAGAAAAGCAAACGCCCTCTAGTCTGCAGGAACATCCGCGGTCGGGAGTGTGTTGCGACGCAACAAAGAGGTAAAGAAAATACGATAGAAGATCCAGAGAGTGCCAACGACGATACAAAACTTAGATCAGACAATTAACGTAAGTGACTTGTACAGAAGATTGACAGACAAAGAACCATCAAGCTGACCCTATCACGAGTTGATTAAAAGTAAGAAGCGCAAAAATGAGGAGCCGTTTTTTCAGAACTTGTACAGACTGACTAGTTGCTGCCCAATTTTCTCTGCGTTTTCATTCATTACTGTCATTTACCATCTAGTTTAATCTCCCGAATTTTGACTCACGGTAGCAGAATTCTTTTAACTTTCTTGTGTCTAACAGTTTAATAATATTCCTAATACAATTGTTGCGGTAAAAAGTTTCGATGTTTGACTCTCACTATTTTTCTATCGCTCTATAACTGTTTTTGTCTTATCTGTTCTTGCAACAATCTCTTTACTTCTCGATCACGGTTTTGCAATTTCTCGATTTGTAAATAATGATGATAACATGTAATAAAACATTTAGAGGTATTACAAGGGCTTGGCTATATTTAAGCAACAAGTTAAAGCAACAGCCAAATCCTTACCAGTTAACAAGAAAAGATAGCAGCTATTTTCTACTTAAACTTTACGTAAGACCCTAAATAGCAGTATAGAAATTTCTGCTTAATTATGGTTTATGTTGGGAATTAATTTTGCATTTCGATTTAAATCTCACGTACTCGCATCATTAGTCTAAACTTCTGTAGAAGTAATGCACAATGAAATAATTAAAAGACGACTGCGATTGATTTAAAGGATAAAAATTGCAAAGTTTAGCAGTTTCTTTTTATTTCAAAAAAAAAAAAATAAAAAAGAAAATTCAAACTTTTGTATCACTAGTCTGAATATATTCCGTTGAAAGACTAGGTATGTTAGGTTAAAAAAACTTGATGTTAAACTTAAATGTTGTAATTTGTAAAAAATTGAAAGACCTAAATGCTGAGCTTCCAGAGCACGTAACGCGTAGGAATTTAATGGTTGAAATTGTCGCCTTGACGTTAACGTGTACAAAGATGAGAATAGTAAAAAATTTGCGAGCTTCACGACTCTCAAGTGAATTGTAAACAGTATAAATTTTAAAGGCAGTTAATACGTTATTAGCGTTAATCTTAGTTTAAATGCGAGTTGAGACATTACCATTCGAGCCACATTCCTCGCCACGTTGACTGGATATATATATGGATCTGTTGGAATTTTAAGCGGCTCTGTACCCACTGGATCGGAACAGCTTGTATCCGACTTGTAGACGAAATGTGCAGAAACTTTAGAACCTAACTCAGTGTAGTAGCTTATCAACTGAAAATGTTTCTGTAAAAAAATCAATTAAAAATGAGTTTCTGCTGCCTTGCTTTTCATTCCCAACCATCATACTTCTGCTAGGCAAGGTATAGTGCAAAAAACTTTAAACTTTCTTCTATTGTATGCTTAAGTGAAAACGTGAGAGAAAGGTTAGAAAAGTTAGCTTAAAAAACAAAGATATTTTAGAGAGTGATACAGTATGGAAATTTTATCTCCATTTTTTGAACAAACTGCAAATTTTAAAACCTCAAGTTTTCCCTAATCCAAATAATCTGATTGTGGTTAGAACACAGTATAGAAAAACTAAAATGCCTGTTTTTCTGCACTCCACATAGCACTTCGAGTTTCTGTTTCTGGAAGCACAATCGTCAGCGAAATGGGGCCATCCCAAGCGCCAACCTGTAATAATGACCATTGTACAGTAACAAAAATCATAGATGGTAATACTAAAATCTACATTTTTGTAAGAGCTTCTCACTATCAGCAAAGTTCTATTAACCTGCTCAACAAGACGCCGATCAAGATAATTACTGCTTAAGTGGAGCACCAAGGTTATTCTTATATAGCTGTCTTTACTGTTTGGTACCTTTGGAACCAAAACATTTTCAATCACGCAATATTCCTTATATCGCCTCACTCTGCAAGTATCATTGCAAAGGTATTGATTTTGTCACAACCATCATAAGTAACAAAAAATCCCGAATGACCCAAAAAGCGCCTCTTACAAAAGCTCAAATTTCTATCACTGTTTGTTTTTGACCACTTATTTCCTGTAGACTACTAATTTGGTTTTTCTAATAAATTAGTAATATCTGGTTATTACAGAAGACTTCATATGCTGCTAGTCATTAAATTTTTTTGAACACAGTAGAGAGAGGCTGAAATTCGTGTTTGCAATAAGCAGAACTAATATGTCCGCTCAAAAAAATAAAATTTTCTATTACTGAAAGAATTTTTCAGATGAAACACAATAAAAAACGATTAACATTACCGTCTGGAAGAAATTTCCAGAAAATCCTCGCTTCTCAGATTAAAAGGTTCAATTGTCTCGAGAGCTAAGAATATTAGAGAAGAAAGTGCTACCAGAAGAACTAAAACTTTAATTATGACGATGCAAAACGATACGAGTTTTCTTGAAATGAGGCTTGTGATTCGGAGGTTCTTTTCCTCGTTCATAAGGTGATGTAGGTTTGTTCGAATCATTGCCTAAACAAACTCAGCAAAAAATGAATTTTAATTCAGTGCAAAATCTAAAACAGTAACCAAAAATCAGACCACTTTAATATTCTCACTTCCAATGACAATGAAATTTATGCCGTTCTAATTTATTCAATGCCTATGGCCTCCTGTGCTTTTTTTTTGTTTTACAGGTAATGTGCTGCGCAGAGAATTAGCGGCTTCGTAGCAATTTCTTAGAATGTCTCAGAATTCAATTCTTTTAGAGTTGCTGCAGGCTTGAAGTAATTTAGAAGTTTGCTGTATTTAGACTTTTTCACAAACGTATGTTAACAATCTGTGTTTTAGTAGAAGTCT